GGCATTCAAAAATGCCCTGCTAACTCAGTAACTACCTTTTAACCTCCATGAAACATAGAAAGTGGAGAGGACATATTCTATCCAAGACTACGTCTGGGTTTGTCTAAGTCTCGGTGCGGCCTAAAAAGTCATGGTTGAATGATGTCAAAGACCTAAACTATAACCACACTAAACACGATAGCAGCTGTCATAGTTGCAAAGCTTGGACATTGTACAGGTGTCCCAGGACTTTTGTCCACGGGCGTCTCAGTTTCACTGTGCCTCGGCACGACTGTAAAAGCTTCTGCGTCCCATTAAGACATCGCCGATCAATTGGTGTGTTGATACTGCTGCGCCATTAACACACACATACACAAAGTCAAAGTAAATCTACCTCACGAGAGGTCGCCACCTGTCCTCCCTGCTGCCCCGGAGCACGGCACTTCATCATTATCGATTCCCCATGACACACCCCCGCAACCTCACTCTCTGGTGGGGCTATCGGTAGCGGCTGAGCCCGAGCCATTAGGCCCCCCTGCTATTTCACCAGCTGTGATTTATCTTGTTAATATGCATCCAGTTCGCCGCGGTTTTAAAAGTGTCGAAACAGGCTTTAAAAATTGGTGGCTCGCCACTCGGCTACACCGTGTCCAACTGTTATATTCAGATTTGCAGCCGTTACGTTGATTGCGGCCCAAAAGTTGCTCAAAATTGAAAATAGTGTCTTGGCATCGGTGTGAAAATTTATGGCCAAGTGGGCCGAAACTGGCCCGCTGTATGGTTCATTCCGGCTCGCATGGGGATGAATTTTGAAAGCGAAAAAATACATTTGAATTTGGGGTGGCAGGATTTGGGGAGTATTGCTCATCAAGAAAAGTTATTTTTGCCCATTGAAATGAATGGAAATGCCTGCAATCTGTTCCAACCTCCCGCCCCCCCCCCAAAAAAACAACAGTTTTGGGAATTTCTTTTTGAGCAAGAAAAAAATTGAAGTTGTTTAAAAAAAAAAAAGCACACCGATAAATAGAATCCACAGAAATTCAACAGTTTTTTGTCCCATTTGGGGTTATACTTCGATGGATATTGGGCTGCTCCTGATTTGCACACCTTTTGCTAGGTGGGAGCAACAAATGAAGTAGACATGGAGACGTTTCAACTCCTCAGTAAGCCGCAGTAATATTGTTCGCTCTTTGCAGAGGAGAAGGAATATATGCCTGTCTCATGTTAGCTGTCCCCTGTTTTACGTTCACATGTGCTTTGTGCTCCAACACCCAAAATGCAACGATTGTTCACGAAAGATTTCAAAACAAAAGTCAAAATAATGATTTTACCGTATTTTAATGATGCTACGATTTTCCTGGTCCAGCCCACTTGACATCGAATGAATCTGTAGCTGCCCCCACCCCCTCTGCCCCCCATAAACTACAATGACACCCCTGCTCTCTAAGAGGACACATTTTCAGCCAAACTGGATTAATTAGCATTCAAGTGTTGCTCTTCGATGCTTACGCGAATGAGGCGCTTTTGTTAAGGGAGCGAGAGGCTAAAGAAACTGGAGAGGACACATTATGGAAGGCCGAGGAACCCCGGTAACAATGTGCGTCTGCACGTGTGTGTGTTTTGCTGTTGCTCATTAGAGTGGGAGTAATTGATAGGCTTGTAGAAAGCATTGAGCAGAGTGATTAAGGAGTGCGAGGGCAGCGGCTTATTTCTCAAAAGGGCTCTGAAAAGGCAAGGAAGGCTGAAGCAATCACGCAAGCGAACGAGGTGGCCTTAAACTCGCCTCATGCGCGCCGCGAGGGCGCCGTGAATAGTTTGTGTCGCTGTTTGTCCTCAGGTACATCTGGTGAATCTCTCTCTGTGTACTTTTCGTCTTTTTTTTTTTTTTTTCCAGGACGAGCGGCAGGAAAGAAAATGAAGTCAACAGACGTCTGAAGCGTCTTCTTCTTTTCAGCTCTTTCTTTTCTTTCCTTCTACCTCATACCACCTTCATTCCATGATTGAAATCATTTTTTTCTTTGAGGATGGAAGTTGGATCGTGGGCAAAAATGGATGCAATTTGTTTGAGCTCTATTTACATCCATCCATCCATTTTTTACCGCTTATCCGGGGTCGGGTCGCAGGGGCGGCAGCTTTAGCAGGGAAGCCAAGACTTCCCTCTCCCCAGCCACTTCTTCTTCCAGCTTTTCTCAGGGAATCCCGAGGCGTTCCCAGGCCAATAACATTCTGCAGAATGTTTTTTGGCGTCCCTTTTGGTTGCCGAGTCCATCCATTAGTTTGACCTTGGTGGACGTCCGCGCCCAATCGAGTGCCATTGTCAGTTTGCCTGCAACTCTGCGTTCAGTTACCCACTCGGTTCTAAAGCACAGAACGGGCAAGTCTGCCGTGCAGTCGTACAAGATGAAAGCTCCAAATGGCCGCCTCGGCCCAACCAAACCCTGCTCTTAATGACTCCCTTCCCAGTTGGCGGTCGGGCTATAATACGTTCTCTCGGCTCCCTGACCGCCCCCGCCCCTCTTCCCCCCCGGTTGAAAGAACGTTTGCATCTGTAGCCCTGCAGGCTGCAACCGCTGCCCGCATTTTCACGGAGCTCCATTGTCCGGTTTGATCTGGGCACATCATGAAAAAAAGATCTTATCCTGGTGCCGCCTTTTGCTGCTCTTCAGATCCCATCCAAAGCCACCGAGATCAAGACTGCCCGCTTTCCTTTTTTCATTCCATCTCCCCCCCTTGTGTCTCCCTTTCTGTTCCTACTGTCTGACTTTTGTCAAGGTTGAGTTTACAGCTCAAACTTGGAAATGCGCAAGTATCAAATTATAGATACTAGCCGTGTTTCTGTTGAACAAATTCTTCCCATTAAATGTTTTTTTTTTGGGTGGGGGGGTTACCTCTAGTTGAGGAGCTGGCACTTCCCTTTGAGCACCTCTTGGGAAAATGACGAGCCAGTGCCATATGGACCTGACATAATGGATGCCACTTCCTGTGCATGAAAATGATTCAAGTTTACATCAAGCAGTACAGTTCAGTGAATTCACTCCACACGTTTCCCAAATGGTGGCAAATTTGTGGCTTTATCGCTTCAACTTGTCAGGTTTCATGAAACAATGATAATGCAAACGCGGACTGCACTTCATAAGCCCTCAACTTATCTAGAAACTGTATAGACCACATGTGTCAAACTCAAGGCTTGGGGGCCAGATCTGGCCCGCCACTTCATTTTATGTGGCCCGCGAACTGTGTGTGAACTTCCATGATCCTTGCTAAAATCTGTACCGAAATGTCAAATTGTCATGTGTAATAAATAACCTTGAGATTTTGCAATAATTTTGTTACCCTGATAGCAGTCACTCAAATAATAATTATTATAGTTGATTTGACTGATTTGGAAATTGGTAATTCATCATTTTCTTGTGTACAAATAATATGTTAAAATGTATTTAGTTTCACTGTCGTAACGGCCTTTCAAGGGAAGACGCAACCACAAAGTGGCCCGCGGCAAAAATGAGTTTGACACCCCTGGTATAGACAAATGATCGGCCAACTGATTTAGAGCAAAGTTGTTTCTTTTCCCCACCTCTGCGATTTGAAAATTGCATCCTACTGCATTGTGATGTCGATTTGAATTTGATCAATTGTTCAGCCCTGCTTTACACATACCCCCCCCCAAAAAAAAAAAAACAGTTCCACATTTTTCTCTTTGTTCCCCAACCATGACCTTAAAACCAAATGATTTTCGGTGTGTTCCGTTCCACCCCGAGTGGAAGCAACAAACATATTGACGGGTTTGGCCTTCCAGATGGATTGTTCAGCCCCCCCGGCTGAGCTGGCCCGCGTTGCTCAGCGCTCAAGTGTTGCTCTAACGGAGGTGTCAGCCAGTTCAATGTATGCCGCGACGAGCGTGACCTCGCCCCCTCGCCTGTAACGTTTAATGGGAAAGGAGCGGCATCAATTGCTCCGCCATTAAGGCGGTAATCGAGAACCAGCATGGTGGCTGACACTTTTACTTGTCACGCCGCCGAATGTGGAAAGCCCGCACGCACCCTGGGGTGGCATTATGCCGGCTTTCTTAGTTTCAGGCTCAGTGGATAAAGATGCTCCCAATAATGGCTGCCTTTAATAGCAGTATAGTGGGGTCTGTGTTTGTGTTTTTATGTGGGGCGGGGGTGGGGGCGGCACTCGGTCATGCCCTTCCCTTTCTTATTCTCCCTCGCCTGTTTGTTCCCCTTCCCTGTGAAAAGCCAACGTCTATGTGAGCCAAAGATGAGGCACTCAAGTGTTTTTTTTGGGGGAGGGGGGGGCAGCCCTTCAGCCGGGGGTGATTGGGTGAGCACGGGGGCGGGGCTTGGCCAATGTTAAAGAATTGACTAATAATACTATTAAAATTGAATTGAACCATTTCATGCACGCCGTAACCTGATAACATGATAAGCTGTCCACTCTAGTGACCGCTGTCCCTGAAAGGGTTCAAATTCATGATGTTACATACACTTTTTTTTTTTTACCTCATCTCTGAATACCCATTTTAAAAAGTGGACGTTGCCCAGCCCTGAACTTTCATCTCCATTTCTGCTTTCTTTCTTTCTTTTTCTTTCTTTCTTTTGCCTCCACAGCTGAAAAGGACGGCGGATGGAAATTATTTCTTTCCCTCTAGCAGGTCTTCCAGGCGCCAGGGGGGGTGTGGCAAAACAAGAGGGGCGGAGGTCGGGTCGAGAGTGTGTTGTCATGGTGGTGGAGGGACAGAGGGGGGGGGGGAATTCATGGCGGAGGTTATTGATGAAGTTGAACTGAATATCAAAGCTAGCACAGGCCATTTTCCCCTTCAGTTCGTATTTCGGTCGCCTTACAAAGCGAAAGACAGACAAGATAAGTCAGGCGAGAGGAAAAAGGCCAGCGTTTTATTTAATCTCTCTTTTTCCCCCCCTCCCGCTCCTTTCGTTCTCCTTTCCCTCCCTCTTTCTCTCCCTCCGCTGTCTGTCTATTTTTATCTCTCTGTCTCCCTCTTTTTTCCGACGCTTGAATAGAAGTGGATCAAAAAGGTAACGACCGCTATAAACATAACAACCACAGCTCGCCCCTTCCTCCCCCCCTGCCCCCTCCCATAATCCCTCCTACAACCCGGCA